TTCAGTCCAGTGGCATCTTTAATTCTGGGTATAAGCTTCCATGTGCATGCACACTTCTGAAGAATAAAGGTGCCACTAGACTCAAACTTTGTTCTGTTGTTTCAGACCAACATAGCTACCCACCTGAATCTATATTTATATAGGTAATTTATATTCCACCTGTCTGCCCCACGGTTATCAAGGGTAGCTTCCAACAAGTAGATCAGCAATATAATGCAGAAAAATCCTGAAGTGTATCAGACTGACTGTGCAGTCCCGAACAGAGCTGCATCCTTCTAAATCTGTTGAAATCAATGAACTTAGAATGGTATAACTTTGAATTTCACTGTAAAATATGCAGTCTTCCCAGCCTGTTTAAACTTTTTTCAGTTGCAGTTGTACAATGTCAAACCATGTTGAACCTGTACTAGTCATTCTTGTTTTGATTTCTGGCCAGTTTGTTAAGATGGATAGTAACCTGGCAGACTTGAAGGGTGAAGTGTTGTATGTGAAGTCTGCTTTTGGCAAATCATTAAAGATAAAACTTTAGGAAAAACAACTTCAGTGTCAAATAACCAAATGTGACTTTTAAAATTTTTTTCTAATGGATTATCTGGGGCCAGGTGTTGGAAACTGTAAGCTTTCATTGGTAGAATACAAAATTAATCCTGTGTAGATGTCGGGAAGCTGTACAGAAGTGGAAGACAGGTATGTAGGTGTACACACACACACACACGGCACACTCCCTCTCCTTCTGCCAATAGGACTGGAAGCAGAAACAGAGATGAGGGGTGGTGGTAGGAGGAGGAGTGCTGAAGGATGGAGGCTTAGGAGAGGAGACATCTTGGAAGCTGATTGCAAAATGTTTAGCTTATGCTGATGACATATGGTAAAGACAGAGAGATTAATGTAGTTGAGAGACTGGTTATTGGGGAAGGACAAGAACCTTGTATGTTGGCACAGTTTAATCCATGGCTGAGGGCAGGCTCTATTGTCAATTTTTTTTCCTGTCTGGCAAAGTACATATTATAAATAACATGCTGGAATGAAAAATCATTATGAATTATTGCAATAAAGAATTAATTCCCCTTCCTTTTTCCATTCACAATGTGTAGAGGCAGAAGGGTGCTGAAGAGTTTTGATCAATAGGAAGAAGACAGGAACCAGAAGTATTACTGAACCAATTGGGAGGGTTAAAACAAATTGGGTCAGACTGAGTTAGAGGACTTGAGAAGTCATGGAATAAACAAAAGCAAGTATAGGTGACCCCTGACCAGTGTTCCCTCTAAGCTGAGTTACTGTAAGCTAGCTCACAATTTTTTAGCCTCCGGCTTACACATCTTTGTCTTAGCTCAGGAAGGATGGCTCCAGAGCAAACTAATTTATATAGTAGTCAAATCACTCGCTCACAACTTTAATGCCAGTAGCTCACACAGCAGAATTTTTGCTCACAAGACTCCACAGCTTAGAGGGAGCATTGCCCCTGACCTTTTACAATTATGGAAAATGTACTTTGAATGGCAGTCATTTTCTCTGAAAGACTAGCTTTAAAGGCATTGCTCTGTTGATTTTAGTCATCTGAATGTGTGAATCATATACATGATGCTCAGTCAGGAGGTAGATCCACAAAAACTCATAGTCTCAGGACGAGAGAACAATGTAATGTGGAAACACACTGACTTGTCCCGCTTTGGGCAAGAACACAGCCAAATCTCACAATGAGATGATAGTTGATGTGAATGCCAAATGGATTTAGAATGGCATTGACATGTAAAAGCAGAGAGTATTGTTACTGTATACAGAGCAACACAGGCAGATTTTAAGCTGCATTTCCCCCTTTTGGGGGGTCCTCCATTTTAGGTGCTTCCAAAGGGTGGGTGTTCCTTCGTTCCTAAGGCTTGTTATTAAATACTCAGTAGAAGAGTCTTAGGGCAAGACACTAGTGAAGTAAAAATGTGGGACAACATTCTGTATGGCTCAGCAGGCAAAATAGTTATATAAATTAATGCAGTAATTTGAGAAAGTTCATGCCTATGGAACAAGTAGACCTCCTTCCACTTGTTCTGATGGCAGTTGTAGACTTGATTACACCCTGGGGAGGAGTTCCACTTAGAGAGTGCCGACAGGGGTGTGCGTCTGCATGTGTGGGTCCTTCCTTAGAGCTTATGTGTGCTCATTTGCATGGGTGTGGATGATTACATTCTCCTCTGCAACACACAAGCAAACTTTAAAACTGGTGGTATAGCCTCTGGAACTCAGGAGGTTCCTGACCCTCCTTTTAATATAGGGATTTTATGTCAACATATCTTGAAGAGGATCCATGTCCTGGTGAAAAGATGTCTTTTAAGGCAATTAATCCTTCCTTGAGTCATTTCTAATTAGCCAGTGGAGTTGCAGTTTTCAGGGGTCAATTAGAGTACATTCAGCAAAACATTTGAGAACAGATTAGGCACAACGGTTGTAATGATAGGCTCACCTACTGTGGGTGAAGGGGCTTTCACTTAATGAGGCACACCTCACTTCACTGATTAGAGGATAGAGGTTGCTGATCTTGACATAAGGCAGTGAATGTCTCCTAGTGCAAGCCTCTAATTTTAAAAAAATAAAATCTGCATGTGCTACTGATGATAAAACTGCATATAATAGCAAGAGGAGGTTTTCACACTGTTAATGTTCTAATGTAGCTCTGAGATACAGAATCCGGACAAACAGTAAGCAAATTATGCCAGCTGCCTTGAAAAGGCAACTCAGGTTCTCTTGACCAAGAATCAGTTACAGACTTCTCCCTTCCCTTCTGATGTTTCTACTTTCCAAGTGATAGCCTTGTTCAGAGGAATTATTCTGAAGTTACTCCTGTGATGAAAATTGTAGCATGGGGATGACTTATAACTGTGGCTGTGCATGAGTCAGACTAATGTGTCTTATTAATTTAGATTACTTCCCCCACCCTATCCCAAAGGCTTCAGGTAAATTATAGTCACACGTATCTCAGTTCTGAACTGCCCTGTGTGGTAGGTTAGGCTGAGGGAGAAATTCAGCTGAGGATTTTAGACTGCTCATTGTAAGCTCAGCATCTGTATATGCTGAAGTTTTGTGGCCTGCAGTTGACATGAAACAGTTCTAATAAACATTGTGATGGCTGATAGCAGCAGTGAAAGCCGAGTTATCATTGTGTAAAATGTTAACCTAATCACAGAAGGTGACAACCTTCAAGAACACTATTTTTGAGTTTTCAGGTTCCTCTGTGCAATATGACATTGCATTCAGACATTGTTAGATAGTGTACTGTAGTTGCACTATAGCAGTAATTAGCAGGTGGATTTTCCTGTGTGGACAAGACAATCCAGTTCAGAATGATTGTTATAGTGCAGTATCCAGTGATACATGGATATGGCCTGGGCGACATTTCAGCTGCATTCATGGGTAATAGGGGATAATTTCCTCCCTAATGCTGTCCCCATTTTTGTCTGTATTTCTTCAGATTTAAGACACAGACTTGGATCCACTGGTAATTTCCATGGATGTAAGGGATTTCCATTGACAAAGCATGTCTTTTTCATTTCCCCCCTCCTGCTGTAATACCCTCTAACATGCTTTTCCTGGGAGGACTAGGGAACCTAGGAACAGTGAGAGGAATGAGTTAGAGCTTTGCAGCAGGAGAGGGTAATCAGCAAAAATGCCTGCTTCTGCCCACAGAAATCCTCCAGGACTGCCAAGCCATAGAGGTAATCCTCACCTTATTTACAGTATTTAAGATGCAAACCATACAACCACCATAGCAGTTTCCCCAAATGAAGCTTAACATACCTCTTCATGCTTTCCACACTACCACCAGTGTTATTACTAGGACTAATTTTTATTTATCGTTAACGGTTTTTAATCCATCTAATCCCTAACGGCTGTAAAATTAACGCTACACACATGGATAGGTAGAGAAAAATGAGTACAGCAAGCTTGAAACAGCTTCCTGAGACTGCTTTCAAAAATTACTGTGACGTATTCACACATTTCATCTATGCTTAATGTTTTGGTATAATTAAACTACTTCTTGGCATTCATCTGTCCATGTGAATCTATGTATAGTTTGGAACATGTGTGTGCTAAGGGTTTAAAAAAACTGTTAATTGGCATCAATATAGGGTTGCCAAGTCACTTGGCACAGCGGGGGAGAGTTGGTCCCTGCCCATAGAGTTTCCAGGCTGATTGCTAGAGCATCGGCCGGCGACATGCCGAACATGATGACATCACTTCTGGGGGCAGCCCTACATCAATGTAGAAACTACAGCAGTTCTAGCTACTTAATCCTTGCCAGACAGAAGGAGTTAAGAAATCAACTGTCCTGAAGTTGCTATTGATAGATAGACTTTATGCATTTAGTGGCAGTTGTGTTTTTTATTGTAAAGTCATATAGTACTCTAGTATTTGGTAAATTAGATGGACCCTTAATCTAATTCTCATGTCTCCTCTTGTATATGTTCTTAAGTATTCCTCCCACACCACCCCATAATTTAAGAGTAATGTGAAATGTTTTTGCAGTTAAAAATACTATAATTAAAAGTATGTTTCTGGCTACAATAGATATTAGATTCAAATTGAAAGCATTTATATGACACATCAGGGTTTGCACAATGCTTAGGGATCAGTCTATCTTCTGGGGATGGAAAGGGCTGTGGCTCAGTAGAAGAGCCTCTGCTTTGTATGCAGAAGGCTCCAGGTTCAATCCCTGGCACCTCCAGTTAAAAGGACCAGGCAGTAGGTGATAGGCATGATCTCTGTCTGAGTCCCTGCAGAGCTGCTGCCACTCTGAGTAGATAATATAGACCTTGATGGACCAAGGGTCTGATTCAATACAAGGCAGCTTCATGTGTGGATAAGGCAGATACAATGTAGTCTTGTTTTTGCTATGGGGTGAAATTTTCTGCTGCTTTTCTGTGTCAGAAAATATAAGCAAAGCTAGCAACTGAAATTAAAATATTCTGCCCAATCAATCTTAATGCATTTTGTGATCTTTTTCTTTTTAGATTAATATTTTGGATGCCAAAAGAAGTATGAATATTGGAATTTTCCTCAAGCAGTTCAAAAAGTAAGCTCTTGTATAGCTTTTGCAATAATCAAATATAATATAAAAATAGCATACAGGGATACTCAGTTATAAAGTGTGTATCTGCAAGCTTAATCTTACCTGCAAATGGAGAGGAGATTTGCCAATCTGCCTTATTCTGCTTTATTCTTTAAACATGCGATAGTTTTAAGTTCTAGGCAATTTGTTACTGATTTCAGCTGAGTTTTATTTATTTTTTTTTTTTCATATGGAAGTTAGTTGTTGTTGTTTTAAAAACACATATTTTCTATATGTAGAACTTGTATAAGAGTAGACACTATAGCTTCTTGGATTTAAAAATATTTTTAAGGACACAGTAAAGTGACTGGAGAGAGAGAGAGAGAGAGAGAGAGAGAGAGAGAGAGATACTCTACTGGGGCAGGGTCTGTTCATTTTGGTGTAACCTCCACAGGATATATCCCAAGAGATACTGCTATGTTGTCTTTTTTAATACTACTATTTTGTCACTGAGTGTTGTATTAGAATGAAACTGGGTCATGATGCAAAAGAATTAAGATGTGTTCGGAAGTGGAAGTTTTGTTCTCTCTCTCCCTGCCCCAGGTCGATTGGATCCATAATTGAAGATCTTAACTCAGGAAGAAGTGATCTGTATAGTTCTGAAACACTATGTGAACTTCTTAAATTATTGCCAGAAACAGAAGAGGTAAGAGAAGGGTTGGATGGCCATTCATTCTTTAAATTCAACAAATAGGTACATGTTCTGGAAGACTGGGGAAGCTACATGTCTTAGCTTCTGTAGGGAGCAATGCTCTTAACTGGTGAATATAAAGTCTTGTTCCAAAACGGCAGTGCTTAGTCTGGGATGTACTAACTCATACCACAAAATGGAATATTACAGCACAGTTGCAGCAGTGTCCTATTAGAACAAATGATTCAGAAGATTTTGTAGCTAAATGTTGTAAAATATTTGTTACTGTGGAGGAAAACCCAGTATGCATCAGGGATGGTTAATTATGCCTTTTCTGTTGAGCTCTTGAACACTTTTGAAAGCAGTTTTTCAGGCATTTGGTCCCTTTTCTGTGAACTTATGATGTGATTGACTGAATGCTCATGAAGGCTGAGGAGAAAGGGGGGGCCAGGGAGTCACTAGCAACACAAGTGATGAGATGAGCTAGGGAAGGTTTTCTGAGGAAAGCATGAAGGGAACACTAGAGATGAAAAGTCAGTCCCAAGCATAAGAGCGATCTAGCTAAAGTGCTAGCTTTGAGAAAATACGCTAAGTTGGAGGGAGAGGGAAACATCAGAAAGAAAATACAAGAAGCACATGAGGTTGATAAGGTGTTTGGGGTGGAAATGTCAGGTGTCCAGAGCAGAGGTTTAAGGATCGGGGAGGTATTGAACAGTTTCCAGTGTCCAGGGGATTAATGTGATACAGTCCTGCCATGGAATGGTGCCACCTTGGAATGCAGTTGTTTGCACTTCCACATCAGAATAGCTCTTCATGTGGAGGCTTTCCTGAGAAGCTCTCCTGGATATTTGAATTGGCTTGTTGAAAAACGATTGAGAGCTTCAACCAAGTATTTCTGAATAGCATAAAAGAAAGTTAAAAGTGGAAGAAGCTGTAGTAGTGCAAGAACAGGATGGTTAAGGTAGATGTGAGAGCTTATTATTTTTATTTTACAATATTTGTATCACACCTTTCTGCCATCATAAGAGCCATCAAGGCAGCTAACAAATTAAAAACACACATAATAATATCACATTTTAAAAACTATTAAAACCAGAGCTAAAATACACATACAAAAACGTAACAATTAAAACACGGGGCAGGAAGAAGGGATCACTGAAGGAATATCACATGAACCAAAAATCTTAACCCACTGGTGGAAAATAGCACCAAAAGGAGACAGACGAATCTCCCTGGGGAGAGAGTTCCAGAGTTCTGGTGCTATGAGTGAGAAGGCCTTCTCCAAGGCTGCCACTCAGAAGGCGGGGGCACCCGAAGCAGTGCCTCAGAAGATGACTACTATGGTCGGGTAGGAGGGTAAGTGATTGAGTGATCCTTCAGATATGTTGATCCCAAACCATATAGGGCTTTAAACGTCAGCACTAGCACCTTCAGTTGTGCCTGGAAACAGATTGTGTGCCAGTGTAGATGGGCCAAGACTGAGGTGATATGGGCCCTCTCCAGTCAATATTCTAGTTGCAACATGCTGCACCATCTGAAGTTTCCAAGCGCTTTTCAAGAGCAGCCTTCCATAGAGCACACTGCAGGAATCTAATCCAGTTGTAACCAGGGCATGCACCACAGTGGCCATATTTTTCCTACAGCTGGCTAACCAGTCAAAGCTGGTAAAAGGCACTCCTGGCCACATCTGCCATTTGCTTATCTGGTGCTAGGTCTGGGTCTAAGAGCCCCCCAGACTACGAGCCTGTTCCTTCTAGGGGTGTTTAACCCAATCATGCATAACAAATGATACCATAAATTACAGTTCAGACTTCCCACTCACCAGTCACACTTCCATCTTGTTGAGACTAAGCTTCAGGTTATTACCCCACATCGTCTCCAAAACTGCCTCCAGGCACAGGTTCGGGGTTTCCGTGGTTTCCTGGGAGTCAGCCAGCACTGCAAGATCTCTTAGTGTTTCGGTGTTCCTTCAACAAGAGTACAGGTTCAGTAGCTTATGTTCTTTTTGAAGGAATACTGAAAGACTAGAAGAAGAGATTGGATTTATACCCCACCCTTCACTACCCAAAGGAATCTCAGAGTGGCTTACAAACTCCTTTCCCTTCCCCTCCCCACAACATACACCCTATGAGGTAGGTAGGGCTGAAAGAGCTCTGACAGAAACTGATCTTTTTCAAAAACAGCTGTGCCAGAACTATGACTTGCCCAAGGTCATCCAGCAGGTGTAAGTGGAGGAGTGGGGAATCAAACCCGGTTCTCCCAGATTAGAGTCCGCACACTTAACCACTACACCACACTGGTAACAGATGCCCCTGAGGAAGCCTGTTGACAAAATGCATTGGGAGTTTTTAGGTAAGAAAACATATTTTTCCTTTATTTGCATCATCGCCTTGACCTCGTTTTTATCTCTTAGTGACAGGTGTTTCCCTTTTTTATTTTCTCTGCCATCATATTGGTGACAACCCAACCCAAATTTCCAGATGACCTCACCTAGCAGTTTCATGTAGACATTAAAGAGCATAGGGGACAAGATGGGGCCTTGTGGGATTTCCAGGCCAAAGGCAAGGATCTGTGTAGCAGTCCCCCAGCACCACCTTCTGAAACCTATCCTCTGGGTAGGACTGGAACCACCTCAAAATGGTGCCTCCCAATCTTGACCTGGAGAGGTGGGCCAGAAGGATGCCATGACCAATGATACTGAAAGCTGCCAAGAGGTCCAGGAAGATTAATAGGGTCATACTTCCTCCTGTCCATCTCCTGGTGCAGATTATCCACCAGGGCGACCAAGGCTGTTTCAGTCTCATAACTGGCCTAGAACCAGATTGGAAAGGATCCAAATAATAAGCTTCAACTGGGGACAGCTTGAAGTTGTCAAGTCATCACCCAATTAAATCACCTTGCTCAAGTATGTAACATTTGAGACTGGTAGATAGTTGTTGAGATCTCAAGGGTAGGCTTCTTTAGGAGCAGACATACCGCAGCCTGTTTCAAAGCTGGGGCAACCTCCCCCTCCCTCAGGGAAGCATTAGCTACCTCTTGAACCAGTTAGCCAGTCCCCTCCTGGCAGATTTAAGTAGCCAGGAAGGGCAAGGGCATGCAAGCTAGTGGTAGGCCTCAAACAACTTCTGAGGATCCTGTCCACGTCCTCAGACTGAATAAGCTGGAGAGTACCCCAACTAACTGGATAAGGCGGCACACTGACACCATCTGAGCCTGTCACTGCTAATGTAGTTTCTTTCTGCATTTGCCTGCCATTTCAGATTTTCTCAGTGTTCAAGTTGAGGCAATTTAAGTCCACAGCAAAACAGCATCCAAATAACCCAGGGCAACAGCAGGCTGAAACCAGGCTGACCACTGAAGGGAGGGAATGTAATGCAGAATGGGGGAGAAACCCATAATAAAAAGAAGGTTGAACTCTATTTTAGTGCAGAATGGGTGGGGGGGGGAAGCTAGATTAAAAAGAAGGTTGAATTTGACTTTAGTCAGAATTGCTTGGAGGACACAGCGGTGAACCTGGAGAGTGCAGAAAGGGCCATAGAGTCTGTCAGAACAGATGTGAAAGATTTTATCTGCACAGTGCTGAGCAAAAATGGTCACAGCGGGCTACCAAACAATCTGCCTCCTCCAGCAGGCCAGATCCCAAAGGGTTTCTGACCACCCAGAACAGTGTTGAGCAAGCTGGCAACTAGTGTATTAACTTAAACAAAATTAAGGCTGTATATATGAGCTGGTGGACTCAAGAGGAAATTATTCTTATTAGTCCAATTACCAGTGCTATGTGTGTGCCACAGCTCTGTGCTGGCATGGCATTTGGCATTGAGTGCAAAACAGAGTATCTTATAAACCTCATCTCTAAAAAAAATTCTCATATATGACAAAAGATTTTGCTAGCTAGAGAGAGAAGGGTGAGGAGGATTTCCAGTGGACAGAAGAGAAGCTTCAGTTACCTTTGTAGTTTCTTGTCCTTCTCTGTAAGCAGTTGTCACACAGATATGCACAAATGTTTGCCTGAGTCCTTGGTGTGCACCAAGGGCTTGGTGTACAGACTTTATACTATGTTATGGAGATACATCAGGCCTACGAAGAAACCAGAAATTCTCCCCCTAGTTCAGGCTTGGGGGAAGAGACAGGGGTCTTCCTTTGACCTCACATTGCACTTTAGAGGTTCCCTGAGCACAGTGTGAAGTTGGAGATGAGAGCAGGGGCAATTGATGGAGAGAGGATGGATGGTTGGTGTAGCTACTGAATTTGTGGACTCCTGTTTATGCAAGTTTTCTGAGTTTACAGTATAGGTTATATCAGCCTTTTCTCAATGCAGAATTAGGTAAGGGATGACCTTTGAAGTGTTTCGAGTGGCTGAGCAGAGTGGTGTGTGTTGAAGTGTTTGGTGTAGTGGTGTAGTGGTTAAGTGCACGGACGTTAATCTGGGAGAACCGGGTTTGATTCCCACTACTCCACTTGCACCTGCCTGGATGACCTTGGGCAAGCCATAGTTCTGGCACAGCTGTTCTTGAAAAAGAGCAGTTCTCCGTCAGAGCTCTCTCAGCCCCACCTACCTCACAGGGTGTCTGTTGTGGGGAGGGGAAGGGAAAGGAGTTTGTAAGCCGCTCTGAGATACCTTTGGGAAGTGAAGGGCAGGGTATAAATCCAATCTCCTCCTCCTCCTCCTCTTCTTCTTTGTCTTTGTGGTAGTAGCAATTGGCTTCTGTGTGTTAGGAAGCAAGAACGGCTAATGCCTCAAGCAACTGTGCTGTATTGTGCCTGATCAGTTAGTGAGGACCACTTGTATATTAGTCAAAGGCCTGCGGGCTAGAGGCTAGGACTTTAACTGGACAGAGGGAGACCATAGGGGTGGGTCTTAAAAACTGTGCTGAGATTGACTTGTGAACAGAATGCAAGTTAAACTTATAGGTGACAAACTGTTGATACCCAGTTATTTGTGTTTAATGCAAAAGATGTGTCATTTTTCTTTGAGTAAATGCATATTTTTTCTAAGAGCCTAGTGTCTTTTGTCACCTTTGGGAAAAGAATGGATCCCATAGAAGATTTCTGTTTGAGGAATGTGACTTTCTCACTCCCCCTCCTCATTGCTGTTCTTGGGGGACAGTGGACATAAAAAAAACATAAGAGGGGGAACTGGAGGAATGTGGAAGAAGGGCAAAATCAGCAAAAAAAGTGCCCCCCAGCCCACAGAGAACTTCCATGGGATCAAAGTTTATATGCAGATGTAAGAGTTCTGTTGTTGCATACACAGAACTACCAGGAGTCTGAAATAAGCCCCCGGTAGTTCTCTGCCCTCCTTTCTTCATCTGAACAGAATATTCACCAAGCGCTGTACAACAAGTGTTGTTACCTCCCTGCCCAGTGCCCACTGCTGCCCCACAATCCCTCCTACATGCACGTGCGCAAACATCTTGTACCTCTTTTCTTCGCAACACATCCTTCCCAGCCAGGTAGTCTTGACTTTTGGCTTTTACCATCTGGAAGGGACTATCACCAGTATTTCTTGGAAAACCCAGCCCTTTATTTTTTAATAGGCATTATTGATCATTAAACTTATGCTTGGGTTTCCTTTATTGATATACCACACAGCTTTATTTGAGAAACATTGAACAAATATGAGCAATTTCAGTACCTGCAGAATTTGTGAAAACATGAAATGCAGCCTAACCCTTGCAAAGGGGAGAAAGAAAGAAACTAGTTGCAATGCCTGAAATATCTCATAGACCCCAGTCATACACAGCAGCAGCAGCAGCATGGGAGTTGCTTCCCTATGACATGGTCCTGCATAACTCAGCTGTATATACATGGATGAGGCTAACTAGGTACATTTTCCTTGCTCAACTGTTGTCCTGTGTTCTGGCAGACAGATAGGTGGTAATGTTCCATGTGATAGGCCCCACCCATGCAGTTCCTGTGTTAACATAAAGAGCAATTACTCTTATAGTGCTGTTAACAGATGTGACTGGAGAATCTGTTACTACTATCATAATACAGAGTGTAAAGGATAAGAAGTCTTTTGGGAGTTCATCAACAGTTTTTACACTGGAAACATTCATATCTCTTAAATGTTAGGAGCCCAGTTCATGCATTGTGTTTGTAACATAGCTGTCACTACAAAAACTGACTTCATGACTGTCTTCCAAGTTTTAAAAAGAAGATTTTTTCCTCTGCTTTTGTGTGTTCCATTCCGTAAACAGTAGTCCCAATTAAAGTAGTCACGATGGTGCAGGAGACACTGACATGGGAAATACTACTATGATCCCTGTGTCTACTCATGTTAGTAACATCCATATGGGAGCCAATTATTGGGAGTGGTTTGTGGTATAAAGCACACCACAAAGAGAACAAGAATTGAGCAAACTCAGTTTTGTTCAACAGTGTTCCAAGTTTTAAAACACTACTGGTTGGAGCTCCTGATCCATCACTGGGAGGCACTGATGGTTGCAGATCTTTCCTGCATTTCCCCTACCTGCAGCAGTCCTTTCCAACCCAGGAAAGTTTGTTTTCAGGGGTGCGTGACCTGTGGATTGGGAAGCTGAAGTGGGAAGAGAGAGAGAATCACCCTTTCTGTCTCTCTCATTGGGACACTTTCCTTTCCATGGATTGTGGAATTCAACCCTAAGATAGAGACAGGGCATAATTTTGAAGAGGAATGATGCATTCAAGAAATTTTTTGAAAAACTGGGACCTGAAGTACTGAATGTTGAAAAGTCAACATGGTCTGAGTGATTTGGCTTCACCATTACATAACACCACACAGGTGAGATTAGGTTTAAGGGTTTGTACAGAAGAGAGTTTAACTTGTAGTCTAGCCTTACTTCAGAAATCAGCCATTGGGTGTGATAAAGATTAGGGTGAGACAAAGTAGATAGGCATGTGTAGGGGGAGAAAGATATATTAGGTGATTCTATTTAATTTCATGCATTCTTATTGCATCTTGTGAAATATTACTGTCCCCACAATACATATCCAGTTAAAATTGGAATTCAGTGTCATTACCACATTCCCGTACCATTCATGCAATAGAACTGAAGCATACTACAGTCAATCTGTGAGTGATTAAAAGAAGAAAGGTGAACTCATTACCAGTTCATGTACTCTGTAGAAGTGACCCCATTTTTCATCTTTGTGACATAGCAATTGATAAATTAATATTATTCATGTTGGAACTCATATGGGGTATATTTAGTAGAGTTTCAGTTCATATTATAAGCAAAAGCTCATTTTGAGCTCCTTGAATATAGATTCCACCTTGAACAGCAGTTCTCTTCCAGAAGAGGCCACAACATTTTACAGTTTTTCTTAAACTGCCCAAAGATTGTTTTTAAAAAAGTGTCAGTGAAAAAGGATTACAAGTTTTCCTTGATTATTTTTTGAACACATCTCTGAGCAGAAACCAGGAATGTGGTAGGATTGCACTCCTAAAGGGGAAGTGTAGATAAAGAAATAAGACACAACTTGTTTGCATATGCAGTTTGTACCTCTTGCATTTTGGCAGGTTCTCTCATGTTAACTTGTAGCACTGAGAGTGCTATTAATTGCCAAGTATGTGTGCATTATGCTGGATTCGTGACAGCATGTGAATTGATTTTTGTGGTTCCCTTTGTGTTTGATTGCTGTCAACAGGGCTTAAATGAAAAACAATAACTTGAAATTATGTAGGTCTCGTGGAAACCAGGACACTTTTTTTTAGTAATGTATTCTCACTGACACCTTCCCCCCCCCCCTCCCCCCCCCCCCCCAGCTATGGGCAGGCATAAGGGAGTGAAATGGGCAGTCATTTAGTGATCTAACAAACTTTCCTCCTGTACATTGTTTAATATTTTAAGCATAAAGGAGCCTTAGGTCTCTTATTTCTATAAATCTTTGAAAAATGCTTGTTAAATCTCTTGACGATGAATTAGGCATTACGGTACACAGGGACTTCTCTTAAAAATTGTAGACTGACAACTTATCCTATCAGTTCTCCCTGATATCTTTTAGTAACACAGAATAGGTGTTCTGTTGTAGTGATACCTTGCTGCAGGTCTTCTTGCTGCTGTAAGTAGTAGCTAGATAAGTGCACTGATGCCAAGAAATTTGCAGGGCACTGTTGCATGGCATTTTATACTAGAATGGTGTTGCTATGCACAGGGAGAAGCAAGACACATGGTCTGTGCTGTCATAATGTGTAATTCTAGCTTCAATAACTCATAAGCACAACTTTTGAAGTTAATTATGGTGAACCTCTTACAAAAGGTCACTTCTTTAAAAATTAACCTGATCATGGGCTGACTTATCCTTGATATGTGAGCATGTTCTTTCTTTTGCTTCCTTTTAGGTAAAAAAATTAAAAGACTTCAGTGGAGATGTATCACAATTGTGTCAAGCGGATTCTTTTATGTACTTGCTAATCCAGGTGCCAAAGTAAGGAAACTTCAAATCCATTCTGTTCACCATAAGTGCTTTAATGATTGTTCCAGGTCTAAAGCTTGTTTTGTTCATCTTTCCAGCTACTCACTGCGAATTGAAGCCATGATGTTGAAAAAAGAATTCTCCCCATCTTGTACTTCTCTGCAGAAAAACATGACAATTATAAGGAGGGCTACTAAGGGTAATTAAGCATGCTGAAGCATGCATTTGGCTCTTTATTTTTTCTTAGCAGGTTAATCAACCTAACTACAGTGATGAGAGCTGGAATTTCAGGTACCTGTTAGCTATTTAAAGGAAGCAAGCTAGCTCTGACACATTCCATAAGGGTGTGTGTATTACCAGTCTGGAGTGTGTGTCTCACACTTCGTGCTCTGCTTCCAAGGCCAAGGTGTTGGGTCATTTCTTTGCTTCTACCATTTTTCTTTTGTGTAACAGTCCAATTGTATTTCCTTCTGTCCTTGAGTTAGTGTAGCATGCAATCTTTGTTTCCGAAGTACTAATAGTCATCATTCAAACCTGCACATTGTTCACAGTGACTTCTGTGATTCTCTTATCTGTCTCCTTAATGCTCCCCATCTGTCCTCTTTCCTCCTACAGATCTTGTCTTTCCTGTCCCCCTTCTTAGTGTAGGCACCAGTACTCATGCTGGTTTGAATCAGCTGCATTGCTGAGCTGCATGGTCATTAATGTCTAATCTGTGGAAGAGAAGCAGTTTGTATGACAAAAAGTAACGAAGCATTCTGGGAGTGCTGGATTTAGGAGCAGAAACTTGAAGTGATGGGAGGAAAGGAGAAGCAGAAGGACCTTTCTGTACACAGAAATCGGTTGTCTTTCAGCATATTAGAAAGAAATTATTTAAAATGTTTACCAGCATAGCTTCATACATTTACAACGCTTTTAAGCACTCCATATATCCGGATTAGCCTTTGGCAATTCCTTATGAATGCCGTTAGTGTAAGAGACTGTAGAATGTGGCATTGTGCTATTTTTCACCCTTTCATCTCTTGGCTTTTAATTGCAGTGGGCTTCTATGGCTTCCTATAGCAAAATCCTTGCATTTGTCTGCTTTTTCTTTGTCTCGATAACATATTTTACTCAAGGTGCTAAGAGAACATTTAAGATGAATCTGGCTATTTTTTCCTCCTCTGCTGTGAAAACCTTGAAGCTTGAAAGAATCTGACTTTCTGCAGTATTAGTGGGATACATTTGTACTGATTACTCGTGCCAATTCAGTTTGTTTTGAAATGCTTTCGGGGGGTGGTGGTCACAAAATGAGCTTCAAGATGTCTTAATTGCCAGTGTTGTGAAAAGGCTGTTTCAGGATGGGAGAATGTCTACAAATGGTCTTTGTAGGCTGTATTCTCTGTGTTTCAGATGAAAGACTAAACTATGGTTTTGTGATTATAACAAGTGTTGAAAGAACTCCAGGTTCACTTGTACAACCTCTTCCTCCCTCTCATTCTCCTGCTCTCCTCCTCGAAAGCACTATGAAAGTACAGACAAATCATAGCTTGCTGGTTTATTTGCAAATTGTAGCATACCATAGTTTGCCATTACCAATGAATCGGCAAACTATCATTGGAGCGTGCAAGAGCAAACCAGAGTTTCTTGTTTCAGCCTCTGTCACACTGTAATTTTTGTCACTTGTTTGTCCCTAGTGCTTTTTTTTGGGGGGGGGGGGCTTTCCCACATGTGTTTTGCTCCCTCTGAGACTACTAGAGAGAGCAAAACATTGTGTAAGAAGAGGGAGAAGGGAGGAGAGATCATTCAAAGCTACCTAAACCAAGTCTCTCTCTCTTTCTCATGAGAGAGAGAGAGAGAGAGAGACTGACTGACTGACTGACTTGGTTTAGGCAGCTTTGAATGATCTCTCTTCCCTTCTCACACAATGGAAGTTAATTACTTCTGCTTTTTCTACATAGTTCCACAGTAAACAATTTTTGTTGTTGTTGTCAAGTCATTGGTGATTTATGGTGACCCTGTAGGGTTTTCAAGGCAAGAGATATTCAGAAGAGGTTTGCCATTGCCTGCCTCTGCATAGCAACCCTGGAATTCTGTGGTGGTCTCCCATCCAAATACTACCTAGGTCCAACCCTGCTTAGCTTCTGAAATCTGACAAGATCAGGCTAGCCTGGGCTATTCAGGTCAGGGCAGTGAGCAATAATAGAATCACACTATAATTCTGAATCACACTATAAATATAATTCCAAATTTAACACCTAAGGAACACCAATATGCAAAATGAGGACTAAATGAAAGCACAAAAGCTTCTTTTTCTCTTTAGGACTGAGGACTCTGCCATGCACCTCAGCAGGCAGGGTCCTTGCTGGTGTATCAGTAGGACCACCTAAACTCTCTAGCCTTTAGAATCGTTGTAAAGTTGGTTCTGAATATACAGCATGCCATTTATGGTTGCTTGGAGAAGCCAACTTTATGCTTGTGGGTTGCCAAATGGTCTGTGGGGCTTTTATTTTTGTTTGGACATAATCCTTAATTTTTTTTCCCCCTGAGTAATTCTTCAGTTAACTGTAACTTTTCCAGAAGAATAAAATCTTTCTTGGGTTGGATTTGAAAATGTCCAGAACAGCCAAATGATCAGAGTTTCCATGTCTCTTGCAGAGCTGATGTCCTGTGAAGAGTTACATTCCATATTGCATTTGGTCCTTCAGGCTGGGAACATTATGAATGCTGTAAGTAGACAAGTCTTGTTCGGGAGAGGGGCTGGATTTCTAGTGTTCTTGGAATGACTTTGTATCTCTTTCTGTCCTTTTCTTCTGGCAACCCCCTCCTCAAAACTCTTTAGGGAGGCTGTGCTGGCAATGCGGTTGGTTTTAAACTGGCCTCATTACTCAAGTTGGCAGATACAAAAGCGAACAGGCCTGGGATGAACCTGCTTCATTTTGTTGCTTTGGTATGTAAATAACAGCTATTTTACAAGATAGCAGAGAGTACAAAACTTTAGGCAGCTGGCATAAGTGACTGACAGGATCTTGGGGAGGGTTGCATGCCACAGGTTTGAAGAATAAAATGAAATCACTTCTTTCATTTGCCTCTTTACAGTTATCGTTAATTAATGCTTGCTGTAATTTAAACCTGCACCCCTGAACAAGCATACAATTTGAAGTCCTAGAATCCACAGCTTTCTAGACAATTATATAAAATCTCCAGTTCAAGACTGTCTAACCACAAGTTCCTGGTTAATGCGGCTGACGAAACTGTTAGATCTGACTAATATGCTTGTTGATAGCTTGAAATAAACCTTTTCTCAGAAGCTTTATTAAGGGGAACTGGCTTGACCACACACACACACACACACACACACACACACACACACACACACACACAGAGTTATTATAGTTAATTTTTGCCAGGTTTTGCTCTGTTCCTGAAGATGTGTGGATTGGCTGTTTTTTCTGTAATTTCATGGTTTTATCTCTGTGCAAATTGGTTTAACAACTAATCTGAAGACTTCAGAGAGGAGTGAAGAAGAGTTAATATTAGGTGGAGATTAGACAGGAAATGTTGTGTTAGCTTGCACAATGGGCATTAGTACATTGCCTTTACCTAATGCTGCTCTTTAGTACATTGTGATCGTACTTGGGGAGAGCGCAAACTCTCTGAAATAGGAAATGCCATTTTACCTTGTTAAATTTAATCCTTCTAAGCCTTTTAAGCAAGGGTTTTTCTAAAACAGTTGATCTGTTTTAGTTTGATTCAAACAGTGCAGACTTAAAGCAGAAACATCTCAACTGGCTTCTCTAAAAGTCATTCATCAGTGTATCTGTAATCATGGGTGAGGACTGTTATGGAGACATTTTGTTTATTTCAGGAAGCCCAAAAGAAGGATAAAGTTCTTCTAACCTTTTCAGAAAAATTGCAGCATGTTCAAGAGGCAGCCAGGTAAGCAAGGAAATGGAGAGCTTTGACTCGGAACTTTTCTTTGAGAAGCACTTAAACACATGCACAAAGTCTTGGCATGAAAACTGAGATCTTAACAAGTGTTTACTGTAGACTTGGCGGTTTCATTTTCACTGTAAATGAAACAGTGGAATAGTAGAACAATGCTTGCAGCATGCCTTCAGGTTCAGAGGTTTCATGAAGAGTTTTTAAACATGGAGATTATTTTTTAAGCATGGTTAACTTCTAAGAAGTTTGGTAGCTGTGCTGGTCTGAAACGCATAACAAGTGCCACTGGACTCAAACTGTGTTCTTCTAATAAGTTATTAGTTCATTTTTGTTGAATGATGAACTGACTAAAGTAAATATCAGCTATGGGGAATTGTTTGATATTTGGTGATTTAACAGCTTTTGCTTGGTAATTTAAATACATAACTTTCATGTTGTTTGTTGAAAATTCCTAAAAAAGAAAAGTTCTACAAACAGAAAACCAAAATTGTGCAAACTGAACTGGTTGTAAATTGGGATATTTTTGTGAGAGGGATTTTAAAACTGAGATTTGTGATGGTTTTAATCACCCAGGTAATGGGTTTTGTGTGGCTGGTGAGAGGGAGTTGTTTCCTTTCTGCCTTCTCAGATGGAAAGGACTGAACACTCTCAGGAAGAGGAATGTGTAAAGAAATGGGGACTCCTTAAAGCTCTACCTTGGTAGTATTACCACGACCATGCAAGTAACTGGGGTTGTGAGTACTCAGAAGTGGAGTTATATTGCTGCTTTTTACTCACAGCTGTAACTTCTATTAGTGTGCATGAGCCCCATAACTTAACTTTCCTTTCAGAAAAACACTTCACTTTGACTTCAGTCAGTTGCTGTAACTTCCTAATCAAATCTCTTAAGGTAGAGGACAGGTCTAATTTGTTCACCTGGTATATGTTGCTAAGCAGTTTTCTTTTTTAAAAAGACACCTAACACCTTACTGAGGGATGGCTCCTTTCTCAAAGATGTCTTATTTTCTTTCAGAATACCTATTGATAATCTAGAAGCAGAGCTCAATTCACTCTCTTCAAAAATAAAATCTCTTAAGGAAAATATTCGAAAGGATTCAGAGCTGTTCCGCCAGATGGAAGGCTTCTTCCAGGTTTGTCAGGTGTTCCTTTTGTTTCTGTTGACTGTATCCATATCCTGTGTTTTTTATTGGCATACTTAACAAACCACCCAGGTTTTGCTTAAATTGCCTCTTCAGGGGTGCTCCTTCTGCAATTCTGCTTGTCACCTGTAAGCATTTTAACACAGTGATTTTACATGGAAGGGTGCTGTGTACGTTGACCCTGAGGCTTAGGCAGGTGCCCATTTTGTTTCTGTGAAAAGGGTTGACCCAGATCTCTAGGTTAAGAATAGCGAACTGATTTGTATGTCTCTACTGTTCTGGATAACATGGACAGGTTGCATTTTGAACTAAGTGGTGGCAAGCTGTAGGTTTGAAGTATTGTTAAGTTTCTAAATTAAGTTTTGCTTGTGAAGAATTTTTTTAAAAAATAATTTGCTCCTTACCAGAAATAGATGTATTACTCTTTAAAGCACTACAAGACGTCATTGTTTTCCTTACTGTCTTGCTCTGTGCAGGCTCTCTCTCGCTCTATTTTTAATTAGTAATTTTGTTTTGCCTTTAATACCCATTGTAATCACTTTTGGGGAATAAAGTTTCCATTTAAAAACAGGCACTAACATAGCTTAAGGGTAGCTGGCCTCATATTGTAAATCGCATAATTTAGCTTCCACTTCAGTGCCAGGGAATCAGTCAATGTCCTGAGAAGCACAATTTCCATTTGTGAACAGGAGCAAGGTTGTAGTTCCCTTGTCTGCATAGAGAAGGTTAAAATGTTTGAGTGCTTCCAAACCCCTGCTGATAGACCCCTGTCCATAAGCATGTTTTATTTCTTGTAAAATGAATAATGAAATTTTTAGAGAGGACAGGAAATTGAGTCCTGCTTCTCTGTTTAAGAACATAAGAGACGCCAATGTTGGATCAGGCCAAAGGCCCATCTAGTCCAACACTCTGTCACACAGTGGCCAAAAATACCAGGTGCCATCAGGAGGTCCATCAGTGGGGCCAGGACATTAGAAACCCTAAACCCTCCCACTGTTGCCCCCCCCCAAGCACCAAGAAGACAGAGCATCACTTGCCCCAGAGTCCCTATCTATACCTTGTGGCTAATAGCCACTGGTGGACCTCTGCTCCATATGCCTATCTAATTCCCTTTTGAAGCCGTCCATGCTTGTAGCCACCATCACCTCCTGTGGCAGTGAATTCCATGTGTTAATCACTCTTTGGGTGAAGAAGTACTTCCTTTTATCCGTTCTAACCCGACCGCTCAGCAATTTCATGGAGTGCCCACGAGTTCTTGTATTGTGAGAAAGGGAGAAAAGTACCTCTTTCTCTTTCTGTGTATTAGTGCAAGAGAGTAACACCATGCCAAGTGTGGGTGGCACTATGTCAGATAAGCTGTTGCTTCTTCTCTTGCTTAAATGGATTTTGTGTTTCATAAGTAAGATTTGATTGGCTAACTAAAGATTTAATTTGAAATCTCACTTCTTGGGGTGGCATTGCAGAAAGGAACTTTGGGCTTGTGCTTTCTGTAAACTGAAGCCCCAGTTAATAATCTTTGTAGTTCTTCTGTGGGTACCTGAGAACATCAAAAGTCACTCTGCTCACTTTATACAGTTTACTTGTGGTAACGGCTAAAGCCAAAGCAAGGATTAGTTCATGATGACATACAAGCAATTAATGTTGTTTATTCTCTCCCTCATCTATAACATGGGAAGTATAATGTACAGGTTTTGTCCACAAGTATAGGTGGTTTATCCATAACCTTAACCATTGCTTGTTGCTATAAGGCTGGTTAAAACCCAAATGTCCAATGAATCCATGCATTTGTTTGCCAATTAAAGTCCTGTCCCTACTATGTAAGGAGACTCCAGTGAGAACTTCTTGTCACTTTGTAAGCAGAGAGCCTGGAGAATCAGGGAAACTGCCTTCATCTTAGCTTACTTAGTGTGGATATAATGCTTAGCACACATTATGTAGGCAAAGCAAGGTCCTTCCCACTATCTACAGCTTGAGATCCTTTCCTTGGAAATACCAGGGATTGAACTGAAGATCTTTTTGCATGCAAAATATGTGCTGCTGAGCTTCATCTAACAGACAAAATAGGATGGACTTTTACTTTGGCTTCAGTGAAGTAACTTGTTTCTCATGGGAATTATTTATTTATTAAGAATACTTCCCTGTAAATATCTGTAAGGTGGCTTACAGTAATAAAAACTGTGAAAATAAAATTACCAGGATAAAAGAAGCTAACTTCTGTAGGACAAGTAAGGTTTCTGCACTCCCCATCCACTGTCCTAACTCAGTGGAACAGCATGGAGGGAAATGGAGGGGGAACTACATTACATGATGTAGTGACATTGCTTCTGGGTAAACACCTGGAAATGACATCACAGCTTCGAGCAACCCTCTAGGAATTTAGCAGATCTCTATAGTACCAGAGAGAGTGGGGAAACTCCTAGAGCATCACTTGACACTGTGACTTTGTTTCTGGGTCTTCACCCAGAATTGATATCACCCCATTTCACAATGCTCCGTCTCCCAATGCCATGCCCCACCCACAATCTCCTGCTATGCCATGCCTGCACCTGGCAACCCTAGAGGAGGGCATTTCAGGTCTTCAGCACCACTACTGAAAAGGCCATGTCCTGATGTTGACCCATCTAGCCTGAGAAGGGGGAGTTGGCACACAAAGCAATGCCTCTATGAAGATCTCAAATTTATTTACTGTTACTGTGGACTAAAATGTAGGTGCCCATGCCTTGCTTGTCATAATCAACTACTACTTCTGAAATGCTATGATTTATCTGATGCACCTGATTTGTAGTGTTGAAGCAGATTTGGTCTTACTTGGCTTCTCTGCTAGCTTCTGTTTCTAGGGGTTTTTTATGTAACGTGAAATTTGATTGGCAATAATTCCAAGTGCATGTTTGGATCCCTTTTCATTTGCATCTCATATAACATTTCCTTCCTAAAAATTGTGGGCGAGGTATCTTGATTTAAAAATTGGCTTCTTTTCGTCCTGATGATGCAGCTATTAATTAGAAAGGTAGAGCCAATTTTTCATGTCCCTTACTTAGCTGATATTCATGCTTCTTTGTTGAATGACATTTTTTTCTCATTGGGATGACTACCTTTATGAAGATAGTGTTTACACACTCTCTAAGCCTAGTTGAGCTCCTTCTTTGAACTCCAGCTTTGTTAGAAAAGCTACCAAAAAAACTCTGCAAAGCAGAATATGTTAGAATATGTTTCTGGCAGAGATTTTTTTTTCCATTTATTTTTATTAGACATGAAAGTGGTGCTGAATGCATCTAATTTTGCTTAATAAAAACCAGTATGCACAATGTTTGTTAGCAAAGAAGGAGTAAAAAGAAAACCATTATGTTAAACTCCAGAGCTATAGCATGTTATCTTGATTAAACATTTCACTTTAACTCTGTTTGTCAAATCTCTCATTTGATTTCAGTTTTAAAGAAGTGTTTCTAAGAAGCCCTATTTACCAAACGGCAGCTTCTCATGTTTCCATTTGAAAGGCAGGCATAGGTGTGAGTGTTTCTGAGTCACATTTTGGTCTGAAGACTTGAGGTGTTGGAACTGCTCAGCACATGTCTATTTTGAAGAAGATAAGAAGATAGCTGTAGGGAGAACTGCCAAAGAAGCTGAGTGTCTTCTAAGCATTTTGAAAGGCAACTCTTAAGGGCATTCTGGTCTTGAAAAGTAACATAGGGCCCTATCTCTACTCCAGTGTTGTTTGCCATTGATAAGAACTCTAAGTACCTTCCTACATTACGATGGCATCTCTGCAATATCATTTTTAATTTAGATATTTATACTATTTTCCTCCCTCGTGGGGATCCAAAGTAGCTTATAACTCCATTCTTTTATTTTATTCTCATAACAACCCTGTGAGGTAGGTTAGTCTGAGAGGGAGTGACTGGACAAAGGTCACACAGCAAACTTCCTTAACAGAGTGAGGATTCAAACCTGGGTCTCCGAGATCCTAGTATTAGGGATGTGCATTCAGCTGTATCTGAGTGGAAAAAAATACCTGAAAAATATCTTATTAGTATTTTTGGGTATCTCCTCAGCTGAATACAGAAAAAAGTCTATTTTCAGCTATCTGATATAGCTGTTTCTAGATATATTTGGGATTATCCAGGAATGAAAAAAAAGAGAGCTGCAGTTAAAGGGCGTTTAAAGGGCTCTCAGTCTCTTTAAATGCCTTCGGAGTTAACTCATAGCTTGGAGAAAGTGTTTAAATTGACCATGAGCCCTTTAAATGCCTTTGGCATTAACTCACAGCTTGCAGAAGGCATTTAAAGGGACCACATTCCTTTGAAGAAGAAGAAGAGAAGAGATTGGATTTATACCCCGCCCTTCACTACCCAAGGGAGTCTCAGAGTGGCTTACAAATTCCTTTCCCTTCCCCTCCCCACAAAAGACACCCTGTGAGGTAGGTGGGGCTGAGAGAGCTCTGACAGAAACTGATCTTTTTCAAGAACAGTTGTGCCAGAACTATGGCTTGCCCAAGGTCATCCAGCAGGTGCAAGTGGAGGAGTGGGGAATCAAACCCGGTTCTCCCAGATTAGAGTCCGCACACTTAACCACTACACCAAACTGGTGGCAACTGCCACCACAGTGTTTATTTTGTATTCTCTCACCCAGGATAAGCTACAATGCTTGATGTCATTAAGGTTTATATATGACACTTCAAATGTAACCGGCAATCTCATGACATTACCTGTAGTTGCCCTAATCCACGCCCAAGGTAACAGAAGTGCCAGCCGTTGCTTCATATTATTGTGACCAGTGTTCCCTCTAAGCTGAGTTAGTGTGAGCTAGCTCACAATTTTTTAGCCTCCAGCTCACACATTTTTGTCTTAGCTCAGGAAGAATGGCTCCAGAGCAAACTAATTTATGCAGCAGCCAAATCACCTGCTCACAACTTTAATGCCAGTAGCTCACAAAGTAGAATTTTTGCTCACAAGACTCCACAGTTTAGAGGGAGCATTGATTGTGACTAGTGTAGGCTTCTCATCCTTAACTCACCTTCTTCCAGAAACAGTGTTCAGAATTTCAGTTACCCTTTGTCATTCCAGTCAGTTTATTTGCTGAAAACCGAATGTCATCACAAAACAATGCGACTGTGTTTTTTATTTCAATGAAGGAATAGAAAAGCCAGTGAGATATAGCTGTTGAACTAGAAACGATGACAGTTGGGTTCAAAACCCCATTCTTTTCCAGCCATATTTTCAGTCTCACCCACATCACGTTGTTGTTAGAAGTATAAAATAGGGATAGGAGAACCATGCACATTGATGGAAGGGTGGAATAAAAATATACTGGGCAGAACTAATTTATAGTGGAATAAGTTTGTTAATGCCTGGTGGCTTACTTTCTCCCTGACTTTGCTTGAATTGGATAGGCGTGAGTAAGATGAGATTGGGTTTCTAATGATAAAAGAGTAGGGATTGGTTTGCAAAGAGTACTCGTATGATTAATTTTCTTCAGACAGTTGGATGCAGCATAGCTCAGTAAGAGAGCATCTTGGGGGTCCATCTGGAGGGGAGGGGTGGCAACAACTTGGAAATTCTGCTTCACCCACACCCAAAAATTGTGCTGTGAGTTCTCAGGAACTTGGTCAGACTCATTTCTCTTTTCTCCCTTTTCCCACCCTTTTAACTGGCACTCAGCTACTTTTGACATTCTCTTTTCTGAATGTCTGAATATTTCTGAATAGTATTTTCAAAATAGTATATTCCCCCGTGCCCAGGGATTCTCCTGAGTTTGAAGAGACCCTTATTTTTTGGCTTTGTTGCTTTTGTTACAGTAGCAGTCAGCCACTTCACTACTGAAAGGAGTAACATATTAGGATAAAACAAGAATCAAAATTCTATGCTTGTCAGGATGCTTTTACTTACGTATTTATTAAAAATGCATTTCAATTTGGGGCAGAGTAAGTTTGGTCTCCATTTACTGAAATGGCTGTTTAGCATACTGAACTTTGCCTTTGGATGGAAACAATTGCATTTAAAGCATTATGATTTGTATAGAGCCATCAATATGCATGGTGCTTTACATACAAGAAGACAGATCTCTGTCCTGAATAGCTCACAGTATAAGAGGAATGACATAAAAAAGGACAACATAAAAGGGGGAGTGTTTCAGTGTGTTGAATGTGGCAGCACAGTTCCTCCTACTATAATCTGTAATAAAATCCAGTCTTTCAATTTTATGTATCCTTAAAAGAATACGTTCAGCCAGAGGCAACAGGGTTGTCTCTGGTTGAACATAGTTGTGTGTGTACATCAAGGGTCACTACTTTTGACATAACAATTTTTCTTCAGCCATGTGGACTTCATAGCTGTTTAAAACTTGGATATCCATGCATAATATATAGGCAATTGACTATTCATATCTGGTTGGACTTAATGTATGTGTGTGTGTTTTTAATTTAAAGTTTGCTGTAAAAGAAGTGAAAGAGCTTGAGCAGTGGAAACGGGACCTGCTAAAGGAAGCAAATGCCCTTATGGACTTCTTGTGTGAAGATAAACAAACAGTGAAATTGGAGGAGTGCTTTCAGATATTTAGGGATTTTTGTCTAAGGTTCAACAAAGCTGTTAAGGTAAGGAAAATCTACTCTTTTCATATCACAGAACATCTCTTGATTCTTTGTGTCCAGTGATCTCATGTTTTTAAAACTTTGATAGTCCTGTTCCATTATAATAAGACAATCTGTAGCAATTCTCTTGTCCTTAAAAAGGAAATTCCAGCACTTTGCTGTTCGAAGAAAATCCTGAGGTATATTGGACACATCTTGTGCCCTTTTGAGATTCCTCTGTAGCCCAAATATTAGGATACGGGCAGAGAGAACACCAGCCATTGTCTGGAAATAAAAATGCAGGTGGCCACATGAGAGGCCGCTATGCCTGTAATCTTTGCTGTGCTTGTATAATGACAATAGGCAAAGTGCCTGGAGACAGTGCTGTGTACCTAGGAGTGTTTGGCTCCTTTAATCCAAGAGGTCATGCATGTGTGGCCTTGAAATGTTGATTAGTAATCTGACGCAGACGTGTTCAGTGTATTTTTTTAGCAGGGGGGAAAAGGTTCCTCAGAAATAAAAACTGCTAGCTGGAAAAAGGGTACATCAAATTGACACACACTTCATATTTCATATTTTGTCTATGTAGAAAGGGGATTTAGATGAGGAAGGGAAGAGGGAGAAGCTCAG